GAGTACTAATCTGTTATTCTACGGTAAAAATGTATCCGCCGCATAACTGGCCATTAACGTAACGACAACAAATATTATATTTTATAGTTGTAAGAACCTGAAGAGGGGAAATTATTGAAATGAATATTCTTCGTTCAGATTGACTATTATCATTATCTTTACAATAATTATTAAAAGCTGTCGAAATAAATATATCAAAAAAAAATTTACCATCCCATAACTTAGTATCAAATGTCCAAGTAATGTACCAATAATGTTACTAAGTGGGAATAACGATTAGAGTCGTTGCTAAGATATCCTAGATAATCATTCGACATTACTGAATTACTACAGAAAAAGAAGAGGCTACATAACTATTCTGTCCAATTATTGAGCGTAAGAAAAATTACTACTTAACTTTCATTTCAGTAGCACAAACTTTACAAACAAAATGTTTGAAAAGATTCAATAAAGAAAAATGTTTTCGACAACTTCATCAGATAAATTCCCATACCCTTGTCATTACACTTGCATTAACTAACCTTTTGTTTTATTATTTAAGCGTAGTTGTTAACTTACACATCGAAACACATATAAGGCATATGAGTTTCAACCCCGAGAAACCCTTAATGTCGAACCCCGTCCTCGACATGACCACTTATCCATCTGAAGTTTATAATCAGTATGACTGGAACATAATATGAATATGACTCTGGAGAATTGATCACTATACATTTGTTGTCATTCATCTTCATTTACTTTGTAATACTGGTGATCGATTTAGTATTACAGTTTCACATATTAACACATACACCTGCATATATTTTGCTCTATAATCTATTAACAATCGAATTCCAAATAACTTTTGGAATTCTGATCTAAATGATTCGATGTTACTCTCTTTTTAAAAACCACTAATTTGTCAATAACAACCGTCTGTCCTTATAATGGATATATAACTGTAGAACCTGATGATGAAGTTGTTGAAAATGTGAATATTCTTTGTTTAATAATCAATCTTTTGAAATTTCGAATGGTCATCTTTAATCAAGAAAATATTTGGTGGGTGGATTCCATCTAACAAACTGTCAGTCACTTGATCACTGTGACATATTTTTCTGTCTGGTAAGAAAAAATAAACATTATATTCTGAATTTTTCCGTGCCTTGAGGTTTCTACAAAGGTTGAATTTATTTTCTTGTAGTAGAATTGCTGGCCGTTGTCCAAACTTTCCGTGCTGGCAAGGACAGTGAAGTTAACAAGTCAACTCAGAAACTGACCGTTTGTAGACGTTTACCAAATAAGTCGTTTCAGGATAGAATATACCGTTTAGGTAGTGTGTCCGTCGGTAGCACAACGGTTAGGACGCTCGTCGACAATGCACATGTTCCAGGGTTCGATCCCTAACCAACACACCCCTGATATAAATAGTCGGCCTGCTAAATTTGGGCTACCGATATCCATGCTGAAAATTCCACAATTGTATCAAAGAAAAACTGTGTGGAATCAAGCTATATTAAAAATTTTAAAAAATATATAAAAAATAAAAGGGAAAGCATACCCGCCAAAATTTATTCAAAAATGCATGAAAACCAATAAGGAAAACAAGTTGTAATGTAAAAATAATGGAAATGATATAAATAATAAAGAATTGAAAGTCTCAGTATTACTGTTGTGTAAAGGAGGAACATCAGAATCTTAATGAATTTGGAATTAGGGTAGTATTTAAGCCTACCAACTCAACTACTCACGGACGAAATCTGTCGACATAAGGACTAGATAGATCCATTTAAGAAAAATAATATACAAGTGTTGGTTTGTAGGGATTTGATTGGCTACAGGATTTCATCATGAGCCTACATTAGTTAGAGAACCATTAGAAAACCTGGGAGTACTGAAAATCTATTTCCTCCTCGTTTGCGACTCTTCAGCAGTACGCACCCACTGCAATTCGAACCCAGGACCTTCTGGTTACAAGGCGAGCCAGCTCGTAGACCATTAAGTCACTTTGACCCGATCCAATGGCCCATGAATTCTAACTTCTACCAATTCACAACTTAGTGCGATCACTAGCCAACGTCCTCGGCGAGTAATTGTCCTCATACCCAACCTGCTGCACCCTACTGGTCACGACTTCTCACTAGAACCCCAGGTAAATACCTACCTGAATAGGGCAATTCGCTAATATAATTAACCAAATACCGTCAATTCGATTATCAGAACATACGAATTTAGCTAGATCTTAAATGATTGACCCCAGTAACTTAAATAACCTAGAAAAATGCTTGATCATCATTGCGCTCTCACTAGAATGCAATAACACAATAAGGTGGGACAGGGTGAAAATATGAAGAAGTAATACAATTAGGTGGAAAGATAGAGAGGTTACCCACCGAGTCTTTCTTCACTGAATCAGCGTCAGAAACATGCAGTCTAAATAACGTAACACATGTCCTGGATATATGGAATACACCAATAAAAAGACAGTAGGGGATAGAACTAGCTGAAGCAAATTATGAAACTGTGAATCCTTTGGGATGATTATGGGCGGTAAGTTTTACTCCAAATGTCGTACTGTTTCACTGTATGTGATGTCAAATAAAATTTTGATATGGTTGTATTCTTTGAGCCGGATGGTTAATTTGCGAAGCTTTCATCGCCCCCTACTAGGCGACATCTTCAGCGCATACATACTTCAATTCATTAAAGTGATCTTTTAGATTTCTTCACGAGTTTATTAATCATCTCTCCTGGTGGAAACTTTCAACTACTGCGAAAAGCATTACATTGGTCAAAGTGGACGTCGTCTTTGTCTTCGTATCCACGAACATAAGCTAGCCGTCAAAAGACATGACATCCACTCCCTCACATCGCTGCATACAGAAAACTATGGACACCAATTCGACTGGGACAACGTTCAAATATTAGACAGAGAAAACAACACGAATGCTAGAGAATTTTTAGAAGCCTACCTGGTCACGACAAAATTTATCAACCAATAAGAAAGAAACCCCACACACAAAAGGTCAAAGTTCAAGTCAAAGAACTAAACTAAACTCGTAGAGAATTCTAGAAGCTCACTTCAATGAATTGAAGTATGCACTGAAAATGTTGCTTAGTAGGGCGATGAAAACTTCGCAAATCAACCATCCAGCTCAGAGAACACAATCACGTCAAAATCATCCACCTGAGCTACAAATCTTCTCCATCATATCCAAATAAAACTATCTCATATGGAATTATGTTGTATAAACGACTTACTATTGCCTACATTTATTTTGTATAATGCTATATACTACTGAACTATTGATATGAGTAGTTAAATAGTATTCACATCAACCACTGGTAATACTAGCTAGCTAGATCAAAATGATGCGAAAATCTGACAGAGGTATCGCTCATTTTAGTACGTATTCATGAGCAGTGTACACTGTCTGATGCAGCTAAAAGAAAAAAATCAGCTGAAACCACCGCGTACAAGTTAAAAACTAGTTCAAGGTGACAATTTTTGAAATGATAATCACTGCTAAACGCTACTCATCACCTCCTAATGCATTTGGATCATTGATTATTCTCCCGGATAGTAATAAGTGTCCTTCACTGGCATTTCCATGAATCACTATTAGTGAACATATACATGGATATGTTAGATGGTTGGAGGCAGTTGTCGAAAATACCTGGATTTAGTTCGTATTTATGGATACTTGTCGATAAGGCATATCTGTATCCTCAAAAGGAACTGAGATCCAAAACCATTAACACCCAGTACTGCAGACAGAGATTTCGGAATCAACTATATATATATATATATATATATATTCAAAATCCTTTTTATAAACACTAATTAAGACAACCAAGTAGAGTGAATAAGTTCGCGTATATAGCATATAGTTTCAGTCACTGGAACGTTTGTGAATAGTGATAGATTCCGGACACCAAGCTACTCTCTAAACAAACTTCAAAGTCAACGCACCCAGGGATTCGAACCAGGACCTTCTGGTTACAAGGCGAGCCAGCATATACAATTAAGCCACTGGGACCCGATCCAATGGTCCTTGAATTCTAACTTCTGCCAATTCACGACATAGCGCGACCGCTAGCCAATGTCCGGTGGCGAGTATTTGTCCTCAACCCGACCAGCTGCACCCTACTGGTCACGACTTCCACTGGAACCCAGGTAACTACCTACATGAATAGGGCCAGTCGCCAGTGAGCATCTTATTGGTGATGATGAAATCCTGAAACTTCAAAGTCGTTTACATAATACGAAGTGGTCTTCCTAAAGGTGTACGAATCAGAAACTGTGGAGACAATGGCGGTTCACTTGCTAAGTTCTTAGCTCTGTTTACAGAAGAAATCCGTTCAATCACTACACTTGCAATGGAAGTAATCTATCTTATTACCCGACAAGTAAATTCTACCTAATCTTTTTCTCTTCTGTCTCTTCATTAGTATTACTTTGTCTTCTCAATTGTAATATTTTGCATTTTCAACTTTCTTGTTCACTACCTCCACCCGATTTAATTTCTACACCTCACTACCATTGTCACTGACTTGACCAACGCTCAATTTCTAGTCATTTATGTTAGGTCATCCAACTTATTTGCTTAATTTCAGTTCTAATTTAAATGGCTTCATTCTCTACCCCACTTTTACTTAGTCTTTAACTGTGATTACCTGTGTTGCTACCCTGACCTAAGTTGAAACATTTTTGTCAATTATATTACGTCATCTAATTTACTAAGTCAATCTTAGTTGCTTTAGTTGCTGTCAGATTAATCTTGTTTCTCTATTAAAGCATTCTTGTATTACCTGATCAATTATCTAAACTTGACAAACCTCATGTACATACACGCACACAGAAAAATTATTATATGTAAATGCGATTGTACAGCTATGTGAATGAATTCGCCGTCGGAAAGAGTCTCATTTTAAAATAAATAATAGAAATAATGTTGATGAAGTGTTAGAGACAACTGATAAAAATGAAAATAACAAATACCAGATAGACTATGCCATACCTGTAAACGTGTTATTACATTCTGTAGTCGAAGTACTTCAGCTTCATAACTGGAACGTATATCAGAGATTTGCTTTTCATAGCCACTTTTATCCATCAGTTCAGCTTGTAGTTTAGCATTCTAATTCAGAAAAACAAAAATTTAAAATAAAAAAAACAACACCAAAAAAGGCCGTTAAATGACAGACTGACTTTCTAAACAGTACTTTGCTTTATTTATATTATACATGAGTAAAAATTCATGATTAGACATTCGAATAAAATCAATATAAGGACCTGGTGAAGCCAATTAAACAAAATAATATAATTTAAAAAAATACCTTGGAATGACTGTGAGTCAGGTCAACTACATAAGTTAATCCAACTAGTAGATCAGGAGTAGTGAGATTGCCTATCAGAACATAAGAATTTAGCGGCTAAGGTTAGAACGATTGGCTCCGAGAAGATGAGTAATTTAGAAACGAAGTCAGCAATAGCACTGCGTGCATTAACACATCAACCACAGAATAGCATGGTGGCAAAAGGGTTAAGATTCTAAAAAGTAACATAGGTAGGTGGAGATAGGGAGAAGTTGATTACTGAATCCTTCCTGGTTCATCGATTCTACACCCAACACATGCAATAGTGGTGACTCAATGCAAATACTAGAGATATGGAAGATATTATTACCACCAGTCAGTCAAATCAGAGGAGGATAATAAATAATGTTAAAGTGCATTGAATTCACATAAATTACAACATTATAACATTGTGCGACGGTGGCACAGTGATTAGGACGCTCGCCAGCCATGCATATGGTCCTGGGTTCGATTCCCGGCCGAGGCACTCCTTAACCTCGCTCATCCAGAAATAATGCTGGTAAAGAGGAAAGGTTTGGCATGAGGCTAGCAACCCCATCCTGTAAAAATAAGCAGTGCTACAGAAACTTCAAGCCACTATCTTGAAGCCCTATGTTCCACTGGGAACGTGAAGGAAAAATTATATTATTATTATTATTATAACATTATAACAAGTTGTTTATTTATTTTGTTTGATTGATAACACTAATATTATTATTTCTGAATGTACATTATCTTATATTGTTGATTTTATTCAAATGTCTAATCACCAGTCTTTACTTATGAATATAAATGAAGTAAGAAAGTCGTGTGATTGAGTGACTTGATATGATTATGAGTGGCAATAGTTTGTGCTCGAAACATAGTCGTAACAGTTAACATTACTGTGTAACACCACTATGTGACTTTTCAAAATAAAATCTTATTTATAATGGAGTTATACTCTCTCTACCACAGTGCTCAAGTTTTATACTTACATAACTTAAACCACAGGTATTATTCGTGGACTTACTAAACTCAGAAGACATTTGTCTGTCTGTCTGTCTGGAATCAACATAGAACTTGGCTCCGAAGTGCACCAGTTCGAGTTGCCACGTTCCAAATGGCACACAGAGGTAGACAAGAAGATGAGTGAAGAGAATCAATACAGTCTCACAAGTATAAGAGTGAAACAGTAGAATGGGTAATGGTAGAAAGGAATATGAAAGATTACAGAGACTGAATACATCTGCGCTGGCCATTGACAACGATTTTGAGCCATGTCACCTATTGTCTCCAGCCATTGATTCCTAGAGTCCCGAGGGCCCCAACCCGGAAGTCTGCATCTCCCTACCTGACCGACTCAGTTTAACTGTCAAGGATTTCATGGATTGATGAGGCCATGTTTTTGTTTGGCCACCACTGGCTCTTTTCCAACCTGCACCTATATCAGCTAGCAATGCCCGTCGGGGAAGGCGATGGTTAGGCATGCGCAGCACGTGACCTAGCCATCTTAGTCCATGTAACTTTATAGCCTCGTCGATTGATTTTCCCTCTTTGCCCAACACTCTACGCCTAACGTCAACATTACTTACCTTATTAAACCACCTAACGTGAGACAGAGATCGTAGACATCTATGATCGAAAGCAGTCAACCTTTTCATGTCTTCAACCCGTATTGGCCATGTTTCAGAGCCACAGACAAGGACGGAGCGAACTGCTGAGCAGTACACACGTCCCTTGGGTGATAGCCAGCCGGATGTCACGCCTACGCCAGAGATGGTGTAAGTCAGCGAAAGGAGCTCGAGCTTTTCGGATCCGTGCTGAGATATCGTCGCCAACCAGTCCGTTGGTGCTGATACAACTTCCCAAATAGGTGAAGTGGTCAACAGGTCCTATCACTTCACTCCCTATCACTAAGTTAGGAATTGACGTAGTCCAGTCCTGTAGCAGCATTTTAAATTTTGTAGGGGAGAATCGCATGCCAAACATACGAAGATTGCTGCTCAAGGTGTTCAGAAGACTCTGCATTTTGTCAGCATCCTCCCCTAACAGGACTATGTCATCTGCATATTCTAAGTCCATAAGACTATTCCCTGGTAACATTTGAGGAAATACTCACTTGGTATTCTCCTCCTAAACCAATGAAGTTTATTCAAAGCTGCCGAATTCCTTTAAAGGTAACAGTGTAATAAAAAAAAGAATCAGTAGATGTGTATATTGACTGATCACTAGGGCGTGGTCCTTGGTGTTAGTATAAACTGAATAGTATGAAAGCCAACTTAGTAGTGTGATCACCAAGCTTGACTAGAAGAATTCGGTCCTAACGAATACGGAGGATTAGATTCATGACACTGGCTACTCACCAGTAACGAATCAATGTGTCCACTACACTCCAAAAGGAAATCATTCGTGAGGCCGAATAGCTCTGTGATAACGTCTCTGACCTCAGAACTTCGTGTGCTTTTGGAAGTGTGTGGGCGGCTGTTACTTCCAGGCTGCCGACACCGTGGAAGTTGATTGATTCTTCGGGTACCTGAGACAGAAAGAGAGTTACTATTGAATGACCACAGAGCCCAAGGGATAACTGCTTGACGCCACCCGGTCATACACGGCCTGTTTGGACTGGTTTCTTGGATTGATTCCGTATTAGTAAACTTACCGCCAGTTATGAACCACCGTAGGGTAAGTCGGGAAGTACAGTTGTTGGGGTCGATATTTTCTAACCTCTTCTCTCCAGAGTGGAAAGACAGTATATCTGGCATGCTGGTCATCTAAGGGAAACACCTTACTGCTGTTACATACCTGTTCCCCAACAGTACGACTTCGCCCACAGACCACCATCATAGTGTAAAAATAAAAATTCTTACACTATGCCGGTAACTGCTTTTAGTCTAATCGCTATTCTAACAACCTTCCTGACATGGTAGAACCTGCAGAAACAATAGTTCCAGCCAGTGTAGCTTTTTGGGTCATCGCGATATGGAAGCCCCACCACCACATCAAGCTTCCTATCGATCTGTCTCTATGTATTATTGATAAATTTTGTCAGTAGGACACGCCACGCTACTATTCCTGAAATCACCAAGTTCGTTAGGTGAATTTTTAAAGTCAGCTTTCAAATCACAAAAAGGTGAATGCATTTACACTGATTTTAGCTATGAATTCTTTTGTCATGTAGAAATTCTTAATTTTAACCAAGCTGAGCGATGCCTTATTGAGTGGAAACTGATGATACTATCAATCTCCCAGGTTGGGGTAAATTGGGTCGATTTCAAACCTGTCAGTCACTAACTGGTGATCATGGGCTCACTTGTAGACCTCTTCTAGATGGTGGTGGGCTTACAAAAAAGGAAACGTTGGGCATGATGTGCTAGTAACCCTGCAGAGTATAAAGAAAATCATTTCTACTGAAGATTTGGGTCTTGAAACCCTATGCTCTACTCAGCACGCAAAGAATATTTATTTATTAATTTATTTAAACGCAGAAAAAACTTGGTACAACATGACACCAAGAAAGATGCGCTAAACAATAATAATAAAACAACATAGATCAAAAGTAGAAATATAAGTAGAGAACGGATAAACAACTTCATCTGGAAGGAAAACAGTCATGCTTAACAAGTCCAAACAGTGTTCGTTAACTATCATCGGGAAGGGAAGAAAGAAGGAAATTGCAACACGTTCGCCATTGACGATTGCGATTCTTGGCCATATCCGATAACGTTTTGACCCATCGACTTGAGCTATCTCTCGAACTCCAACCAGGGAGTCGTGACGCACCAACCGATGCTAATCTAGCTCAAAATCCTTCATCCCACGCCACCACCTCATGGACTGACCACCTCTCCGCCATTTCCATCCCGTCCCAGAGCTGGCTAGAGAACAGAGACTTGTACGGAAGCCTCTTGGAAGACATTCGTAGCACATTTCCAAGCCACCGAAGCCGGTGTTTCCAGATGGTGATCCCCACTGTGTTCAAACACACGCCGCCCAACCTCAGAATTGCTCACGCGATGATACCATCGAACGCAAGCAATCCTGTGGAGACAGAGATGATCGAACACGCAGAGTCGCCGCACATCCTCAGCTCGGAGAGGCCAGGTTTCACAGGCGTAGAGGAAAACAGCCCGCTCCCAAGCATTGTATACCCAACCTTTGACAGCTAGGCTAACGTCGTGACGGCGCCAGAGGTGGCTGAAGTTGATGTATGCCACCCTAGCCTTCACTATACGGTTGGAAATCTCATTCGTCACCCATCCGCCAGCGCTCACACAACTACGCAGATACATAAACTTATCAACAACTTCAAGCAGTTCACTCGCAAGAGTGAGCGCAGGTACAGGCTCTTGCCAATCTTGAAACAGCACTTTGCCCTTAGACAGCGCAAAGCACATACCATACACTTACAGACACTGATCGCCAACTGATTAAGTGCGATTTGGGCAGCCTGCATGCTATCGCACAGTAAGACGAAATCGTCAGCATGCATACTCGAGGTCGAAAAGTCTATCTTCAGGTAGCAGCAGATCTAAACCACCACCATCACGCACATCTTTCAGAGCTGACTCCAGAATGTCATCGATGGCAAAGTTAGAGAGAAATGGAGAGATTGGGTAATCCTGTCTAACCTCACGCAAAGAATAAAAGGTCAAGTCAAGACAGTGAAGTATACAAGTTAGTGAACTATATTTCCACTCAGAATAACACCTATGAATTATCAGATCCCATGGAGAAAAGTACGATCAACTAAACTGTTTAATTTCAAGTATTCCCGGTTGAATAAAATAAATCTCCTTTATACATCAATATATGAAATATTAAAGAAACTTACAGTCTTTCTCTCCTCATCTAAGTGTTCTTCAAGACGAGTTAAAAGATTATAAAATATGCTTTGATTAGATAGAGATTCACAACAATATTCATTGCTGAAGTGATTGTCATCACCCTCACTATTGACACACTTCATTTCGTGGACTTCAGCTGTTCGAGGTGAATCAGAATTGGCAGAACTGTTGTTACTGTTTGGATTATCATTTGAATTTAGTTGATCACGTCTAGATTACAAGACAAAACCAAAGGAATATTCAGAAAATATACATATAAGTAAAATAGTTATAAAACCCAGGTGTAATATCCTATAATGAAGGCTTTTGTATTTCCCAGTGGATGAATGAAAAACAAAACGATATTGTCGCTGTTTTTACTGACGTTTCGCTATTTAATGCTGCTGCTAAGAGCTTTATCAAAGTGGTATTATTAAACCGGAATTTACAAAATCCACTCAGCTTATATATAACAAAGCGTTAGGGGGTGAGAAAATAGACAAGTTAGGTCAAGTTAAAAGGTGGACACATTTAAAGTCAAAATAACAATGAAGATCAATCACTAAACCAAATAACAAAGGTAATAGTACGTCTGTTATGATACCCAAAGAACTTCATCAAAAAAATCAACACAGATATTAAGTATGGCCGAAAACGCATTCCGAAAACATGGGCTTCAACAGTCGTCATTCTGTGTAGAGCAGAGACGTCAGATGATATCAGAAGAGTACTCAATATGCACAACATCAGAGGTTTCTTCAAAACATCAGACATACTACGAAACAACCTTGTCCATATAAAAGACTAAATCCTTAAAGATTCTCTATCTAATTGTGTCTACAAAGTAAAATGCTTGAAATGTGATGCAATATACATCGGACAAACATCTCGCAAAATCAAAATCAGAAGAAATGAACACCGTAGACCCGCCTCTATTCAACCACTGAGAAATCCGGTTGAACTAGAAGTGTGTCTGATGCTACAACACCTCCCTCCCCATGAAGTGGTAAAATCAACACCAATGTGATAAGCAAATTCACTATGTCAACACATGCTACTTTTATAATTTTACACACTGATCAAATCCAACAATCTACACTTGGTTTTGCTAATTTTACCAATTGACCAACTTGACAACAAAAAATGACCCCAGACAGACGAACGATGATCAAGTTAGTAAACTTTGTTTTGATATCATAACAGATGTACTATTACCTTTGTTATTTGGTTTAGTGATTGATCTTCATTGTTATTTTGACTTTAAATATGTCCTTTTTTTTTAACTTGACCTAACCTGTCTATTTTCTCACCTCTTAACTCTTTGTTATATATGTGCTGAGATTTTGCAAATTCCCGGTTTAATAAAACTTTGATAAACCCATTAGCACTAAATAGCGAAACGTCAGTAAAAACAACAATATCGTTTTGTTTTTCATTCATTCATTGGTAAATGCAAAAACCTTTATTATAATGAATATCATATACCCAATGCCCAATTTTTTCAAACTGTTAAAAGTGAACTTGGTTTCGACACATATAATGTAATATCCTATTTGACTAATCTGCTCTGCATGTCATCAAAAAGTTTTATTCCTTTACATTCTGAGTGGAACGCAAAGCTTCAAGTTTGAGCTTTAAAGCCTTTCAGTAACAGTGGCATTTCCTTCACGGGGTGGGGTTGCTAGCCTTACACTGAACCCCAACACTCTTTACCAGGTTTACTACTGGCCATAGTGAGTTAAGGAGTATGTCAGTGGGGGGGATCGAACCTTGGACCATATGAGGTGTGGTTGGCGAGTGTTCTACCAGTGAACTATGCATTAGTTACCCCATAAAATAAATGAAAAATAACTGGTATGTTACAAACGCCTCTGAAAAGCAAAGTGACAATTACTTATTCGACCAAACTGGCAAGACCATTTCATTCTTAAACAAATGAAATGTTTGTGTGGACAATAGACTTCAGAAAACAAGTCACAGCATCATCGAGAATCAGGGAAATCATTAAGATAATAAGGGCCTTGGTGTGTATGCTTCAAGAAGAGGATTGAAATGTATGTTCTGTAAGAAATTAGCAATTCGCAAATCATTTCGCTATGTATAATCCACACAATTCGAGAAGGAGTGAAATTTCACCATAGAAACTAAAATTTATTTATTCAATAAGAAGCTATATGGACAAATCGATGGTGTGGCAATGGGGTCACCACTAAGACCCATTCCAGCCGACATTTTCCTTGTGAAACTAGGAAATAGGCCTTTGAAGCACGTTATTAATGAACTCGAATTCCATTGTCGGTACATGGATGATACATTTTTGATTATGAAAAACGAGAAGGAAGCAAAGAACACCCTGAATAAATTTTACTATTGAGAAAGAAAAAGACTCTAGTATTTCATTTTTAGACGTCCTTATGACCACAAAAGAGGATGGCACACTATGAAGAAGTGTTTATAAAAACCCTGCATCAGCGGGTCAGTACACTCATTTTCTCAGCTTCGTGCCCTTGAAATACAAACGCAATCTGATGAAGTGCTTCGTTCACAGAGCAATAGCAATTTGCTCGGATGAATTTCTTGATGAGGAACTTAATAATATTAGACGGTTGCTAGGTGAAAATGGCTATCCAGAAAAGTTTATTGATAAGAATATGAATCAAAAATCAAAGCATCAATAATTGCAAAAAAAGCCTTATTCTTGCAAATGCAGTTCTTTGGGGACAACATCAGCAAGATACTAACACAGCGCCTTAGAAATGTGGTAAAAAGAGCATTCCCTGCTGCTGGATTACGCTGGATCTTCAAAACCACTCCTCTTTTGAGTTCAGGAGTAAAAGAAAAACTGCCTAATTTCGCCTCTTCCATTTGTATCCACCAATTTAACTGCTCCTGTGGAGCCAGTTACATAGGCTGTACAATTAGGCGTGTTTCTCGTCGAATTTCCGAACATTACCCTGCATGATTCCATATTGGTTATTGGACGTACCACACAGTGAAACAGTATTATTTAGTGGATGACGTTTCGAACAAAATTTATTGTTCATAATCATATCAATTGTATAACACGACTTTGAAACTTGAGAAATTCACGAACTAGTTTTACTCTCATAGTTTAAGGAAACTAGCATCTTTCACTCTGGGTCATTAGTCGACTAAACTGACAAAATGATACCATGGCTTACATGATGTAGGTTTAATTCAATTTAAGGGGTAAAGTTTCACATGACCAAAACGAATTATCTTCAGCCTTGGACCTAAGTAAAAACTGATCCAACAATGCATATATAAAATATTAATCTATGAAAATTAACAGTACCAAGCAAAACCAATGAAACGCACCTGATTTTACTATCTTCAGAACATGGTCTGTTTAGGGTTTTCTTTTTTATAGTACCACAACTTTTATCTCCAGTCAAACGTGATGAAGATGGTGCCTTTTTGTGAGAATTTTGACAGATGGAATGCGAGCAAGTACCACTGCATACAAATGGCCTTCTTCGAATACTGTCGCGCATCATAGGCAGAGTAGTGACCGATAGGTTGTATTTCATCAAAAGTTTGTTTGAAACGAAGCCTAGAAAATAATGCCATCACTAAACGTCAATTTTCGTGCATCTTCGTACACAGATGTTAAAAAATTAGACATTTAAGTGGATGTGTTCTGAGTGTTCTGAGTAGAGGATCGAGCTTCAGTAACACATCTCCGCTGTACTTTGCTCTTTGCATTCGCTTCCAGCAGCCTTCTGAGTGGAAAATTAATCCTTGTTAAGATAACTCGAAGCAAATTTAAAGTAGTCATTAGCCTGTAAGACCGGTTTATCCAGCCTGTTGCTAATGTACATTCTATGATGACATAATGCTACAAGCTTGTTTGAGTTAAATTAACAACTAGGAATTATTGTAAGTCATGACCTAAAACCAATGGCAAATTGTAATCGAGCCGCAGATAAGGCTTCTCAAATGCTATAGGCACTTCGAAGGGCTTTCAAACGATTAGACTGGGGTTTGTTCCAAATACTCTATGTAACATATATCAGATCGCAACTAGAATACTGCATACAAGTGATGAGTCCATGCTTCAAAAAGCAGGCACATATCCTGGAAAGAGTACAGAGGGTAGGAATGAAATTAGTTAGTGTTAACTCACACCTTCCTTATGATAAGAGGATGGAGCATTTAAATCTCTTTCCATTATCATACTGAAGGAGGAGAGGCGACTTAATTTTGGCTTACCGTATATTAAAGGGTTATTTATGGATTGACCACTCAAATATTTTCTCTCCCTCTAGGATACATTCACGAGGTCACCACAAGAAGGTGCTCAAACCGAGGTCGAATAAAATACGTATGGAATTTAGATTCTCTCACAGAGTGGTCAACGACTGGAACTACTTACCTGATTGAGTAGTAACTCCATCGGTGAATGCTTTCAAAGAGAAACTGGACCTCTGCAGAGGTATATATCGCAAGGATTAAGAGAGGCAACAAGAGCCTTCCATTCCTATAACCTGAATCTGAATCTATACATAGACAGTTTCCAAGGTCAGACGTTCCTAAGTATTTATGAATACATTTACAGTGATTCAGAATATTGAGAATCTTACTGCTTCTTTCACAAATTCATGTACAGTGTACTTTTATTTGAAAGTAAGAAATACAATATTGCATCAACCACTCAAATAAAACATGAGTCAATTTTGTGGGCAAATAGCCACAGAAATTCTGGGAGAATGCCTCTTACTTCCTTTCCCTGTCCTTCAAAAAATTATCTTAGGCTCCAAGAAACCTCTAAACTCCAAATTTGCCTCAAAATCTCCTAAAAATCCTCTGACCCTCAAAAGTGCCCTCAACATTTTCAGTAAAAATAACACCATAAATAACTCAATTCAGCAGAATTGTAACTATTTGATACATGATACATTTTTTCGTGACAGCTCAAATCTGTTATTCTTTGTGTGATTTTGAATAAGTGCACTTATTCACATCATTTCATTCATTTAACATGATTATTCACAGTGTCACGTAATGGTCATCCATGTCGCCCTCAAAAGTGAATTTGCCAAAACTGGTCGAGTACATATAGATATGTAAATATGTATATGCTAACAATGAAAACCAAGCAGGTGCGCATAGAAACCTGAACTGCCGCTGATAAACATAAGCTAGGCATGACCTTACAACTACTTACAGTGGTGCAGTTAAACTAAACAAGTTAGTAGATTGTACCAAGAATTTCGAACTTTCTTCTATCATCTAGGCCTATAGCGCTTGGTACAAAATGTCAGAATTTTATTCTCCTTTAAGGGATATCGTCGATTAATTTTGGACGAGCTTTATGATTTTTATACAATCGCTTCTAATATCCAATATCGTTTTTACGACTGGACTTATTCGTCACGTTAATTTAAATTTCGCTTGGAAAAAATTTTTTGTCAGTAAGTTTTAATAAAATTGTGTCGTATGTTTTCTGGATTGATGGTAATTCGTGTTTCCTGACTAGTTATGTTGGTGTCCGCGTCATGCTGTAACAACAGAAGACAAGGGTCAGGTAACAGATCGTTTATTAAGGAAATCAACGCATATTTATAGATTTTCATGTTAATATTATGGGCAATTGTTATAGAAAAACACAGTCTTCTGTTTGGTTGTTTCTCACAAAAAGTTAACCTTGCGTCTGTTTGTGACTGTTTCTTGAATGTCAGATCATCTATATGTTAACTGTATCCGCCTGCGCAAATTCTGCTCTGGTTGGTTATTGAGTCAGTCTTGTTCATATTTTCTCACGACCAATATTTGCGCCACAAACATTGACGTAAATAATTGTCTACCAATCTGGCTAGTAGACAGCTGTCGGTGACTCTAAAGAATAGCGGCCCAAACCGAAACGACCTTTTAACGCAAAAATGACCTTGACAGGGACAACTTCGGCCAATGAGAAGGCTCAAAAAGAAAGACGCATAATTATAAAAAACTGTTTATATAAAAGTAATGCAATCATAATAAACAGTTACAAAGAATAGCGTTCGCGTATATGTTGCAAAAAAACCTCCCAATTTCTCATGGGAGTCTTCATAGTCATATGAAACCAGTTTCGGTACATAAATTCATCCAGGTAACTGTAAATCATGGGATTTCTCGATCCATTAACCGCTCTTATACGTCTTTCTAGATGACTCCAAAAACTTTCAATGGAACTGGTGTGGGTTCCATCCAAAGGATTCCGGAAACCGTCCGTATGATTAACAACATGATGAATGTGCCCATGATTCGATAATTGACGGTATCCGCTCCATTCATCTGTATGAATAGTCGTCCCCGGCAACACCAAACGCTTGTTAATAGGCACTAATACTGCTGCACTGCAATTGGGAATCGCTTCTATATACCCTTTGCGCAGTGTCGTGTCGTAGATACCCAGTATCCACTGCTGGTTTGCTTGTAATCTCCCGCGGTTGTAATTCCTTTTTATAAGTACAGTCTCATCAATATGGACTATGCTGCCGACTCCCCGGAGAACTTGAGTCAGGGTGTTCATTTTCCAGGAGGAAACATCTCTGCAGTAGTTGTACCATTGCACTGCTGACACCTCTGAATTTTCTGTTTCATAAGCTGTAGCTGTGACTGCTCTTTTCAGTACCCAGAAGTTACAGATCATTAAAATTTTGGTTAAAGGTAGTTTAGACCTTGAGAGAAAAGTTCCTAAGGGATCTGTAAACTAAAAACAAAGACAAACCTTCTCGAACCTATTTCCTCCTTCGGCACTCAGTACATCTGTATACAAAGCCATCAATGGCCTCTATGTATATTTGTATATGCATAACTCCTCCGCATTGGCAAATTTTCGACAAAGCTATCAGTCCGTTATCCAAACAGTAATCGAAAACATCCATGATTAATTCCGAAAATGATGCAGTCAGCTGATTCCTTGCTCAAGGTCACTTTTTGCTTGAAGGTCGTTTCGGTTTGGGCCGTTATTCTTTAGAGTCACCCAGCTGTCCACAAAATGTGATCCGACTGCGGCACACTGCCATCATATTAGTTGAATGATTAGTGTTTCGGGCGGACTGTGCCGGAATATCGCTATAATGAGCTTGATGTGATATTTGGAGGGTAACGTCATCTACAAAAATAGCCTGTCTTATGTAGAAGCTGTACCTTCCGGCCTATTATCAGCCAATGAAAACTTCATGTCTTAGGGTATCAATGCAGCCTATTTCCATGTGAAGAACAGTACCATTTGGCAAACGAATGCTATCAGCACACGGAAGTCGCTTATGAATGCCAGCAGAACCTCATGTGGGAACAGAAGTTATCATATATATATATATATATGTGTGTTTTATCGTATGTGTGTTTGGACAGGAATTATCGTAAGTTGAAAGGTTACCTCTAAGTGGATTTAATATACATATTTGCACTGAGTGGTGCTCCGTAATATGGGTTACGTCGACTTAAAGTATAAAAAGTAGCTGACTGCTAGGCTTGCACATGTAGGTAGTTCTCATGATTGTTGCAAACGCAGTGCAGTGGCAAGGGAAATCACTCATTTGAATTTCCTTACTGTTCTACTTAACTCAGTAATTCAGCGTATAGTATCATTGTGCGCATGGTTTGTAGTGATTATGAGAACTGAATCTAGTCAGCCTTATTTCTATTATCAGTCTACTGTCTGCTTTACCATTCCCATTGACACTATTTGCTTAATGCTGCAATATTCTTGATCACCAACAGTGGAGATGAATTACTCCTGAGATTTCCACTTACGCAACCCAGTACGAATGCAGCATCACGACTGAATAATAATAATAATTTGTATTTTCATATAAACATATAAATTTACATGAAAATGCATGCCATTTTTACAGGCACGATCAAGTATGATAAAATGTCAAATCTTAGATTGTCTACAAGTTAATTGTGTTTCAGCAGTTAAATATTTGATATATATATATATATATATATATATATATATATATATATATATATATATATATATATATATATAAATGCACTCATTGTCTGAACCAGGCCGTATAGTTATTGAATTCTACAGTTGTCCTCCAGGTTGAGCGGGAAAATCGACTTCGTTTCGTTTTCATCCCTTGGTTGTAGGCATACGATAACCAACCAATATTGAGGTAAGTACAACGCTTACAAGGATTGGAAGCTGTTTTAGAAAAGTTAAAGTGCTAAGGTGAAACATTAAAGTGTAATAAATTAAGTAAGTGCAATATATCATTAATAAATACATTTATATAGAAAACAGAGTGGGGAAGTAGTTAATCCTTAGGCCGACAACGTTCATTTGCAATGCATAATGCTGCCCATATAGTTCGTACTATCATGATGTCCACGTTTGGTTTTAATACATTTATCCTCATGCCGGTTTTTTATTTTATACCTTTTTGTGCATTTAGTGCACAACCGTACCCTACAGAGAATAGGAATAGAATAAGTCGAATCAAATTCATAAAGAGCTATAAAATGTTGGGTTTAATGGAATATAATGAAGATCAAGTAAAGACGTTATTAGAAAATGAATGAGATGCGACATTGTGAAGTGGTATTTAAAGATCCGACAATGGACAGCAAGTTAGTTTATAAGATGCCCCATAAATCTGTGCAGAGCCCATGTGGTCGCATTATTATTATTATTATCTCAACAATAAGCTGAGCGAACGTTAGCTGATCAGTAGATATGGTGGTGGTCACTAAGGTGAATCGCCCCATTCTGCAGGAACAGCAATATACAAATTAAAGGCTCTAGATATTTCTGATTTTTATGAGGGCTTAGATCTTTATCTTGAAAAAGATAATAGTGAACGCCTTGACAGATAATGCTTCTACCTTTAAATATATACCATTCGCTCAGCCTATTGTTGAGATGCGACCACGTGGGATCTGCACAGATTTATGGGGCATCTTATGAATTAACTTGCTATCCATTGTCAGATCTTTAAATACCACTTCACAATATCTTGTCTCACCTATTTTCTAATAACGTCTTTACTTGATTCTCATTATATTCCATTAAACCTAACATTTTATAGCCCTTTATGAATTTGATTCGACTTATTCTATTCCTATTCTCTGGAGGGTACG